AAGAGAGGGGAAAAAAACCCAGTAAATTAATTACTTACTTTGGAAAGATGACAGTCATGAGCGCTGATGCATAACCAGGTTTGCACACTCCCTCAGAGAAATTTGCATACTTTGATACCAGTTCTGGAGGCCTGTGAAAAAATAAGTAGAGAGTTAGCACCCTCCTGGCTATGAACCGGCTTTTGCAATCATCCTTATAGCTTTTCTCAAAGAACAGCTGCGGGCAATAAAAGGAAACACAGATGGGTATTTATCTGTTGCAATATAGCATCACAGGAGAACAACAAAGGATAGGGTTAAATATCTCTGAAATGCCACTAAACCATTACTTTTGCTGAAAGATTGTTCTTCCCTAGGAAGGTAAAAAGCTCATGGAAGAAAAATATCAAGATACCATTTTAGACTTCAACCTTTCAAAAGAAAGAAAACATGAACAGCACTTTGCTTTGGCTGTTTTTCTGAAGTATGATCAAAGTTAAAATTACAGAAAAGTTATTATTTAGAATATTATTTAGAAGATACCTTTCAAGCATTTGAAACAAACTGACGAGCCATTCTGACAGGCTATCTTCAAGGGATGCATGCTTTCAGTATTTGAAACAGATGATGTTGCTGCTGTGCTGTTGAGATGTCTTAATTCAGCTTGCCTAGTGATTTCAGGGCCAAATTCAGAATACTGGGTCGTGTTTTTTTTTCATTTAGTTTTTGTACAGAAACAAAATTAGCAACTCAAGAAAAGATATTTAAATCCAGTACATACTTTTACCATAGATCTACTGAGTGATCTGGAAAAAACATTTAATTTTGTGTCTCTGTTCACCACCTGCAAAACTTTTACCTTCATCCATTTCACAAAAACATTACAAGGGTTAACTCACTTGCACTTTCAAAGTAACATTAGATACCTTAATGTCAGTCACAGTATGAGAATTATTAATATTCCTTCACTTTCAGAGTAACATTAGATACCTTAATGTCAATCACAGTATGAGAATTATTAATATTCCTTCAAAAAAAAAAAAAGCACTTATAGTTACATGCTCAACATTGGTGGAAGTTGCAAGTGTTAACTACCGCAAAGAGTCAACCAATAATATTGGATTTGCTACACCATTTTGTTAGCAGTAGGCAAGGAACGAAAGGTTTTTTCCTACAGGTCAACAGTAGGAGTCAAACGAAGATGACAATACATATCTACAAAGTAGATCCACAAAAATAATTTGAAGAGCTCATTACTGTCACAATCATGCTTTGTTTTCCACGCACCAGCATGTACATCACCGATATCAGTTAACCAGCAAACGGCTGCTCAATGTCATGAGCGTGGATTCGGAGAGCTTCAAGGGAGTGGACCCCTGAGCTGAAGACTGGGTCCTGGAGGGACTGTGAGCAGTGGTGTAAGCAGAACCCCGTCTGGCAGAATTGCATATTTGAATTACAGCAACTGCTGAACTGGTACTAACTATCCTTGTTGTACTGGTCCCAGGGTCACTTCCCAAGAGATACACTACTCGGTTCCAACTGGGTGATCAATAGATGAACAGTTAGCCGCATATAGTACAAAACCTTGTAAATCTATAGTTCTTAAAGAATAAAACCATTTCTGCTGGAAAAAAAATCTAAACCTTCAACAGCTGGAAGAGGAAATAAACTTGAGAAAATAAAAGGTCACTGTAAGTAATTGCATATCTGAATGACAGCAACTGCTGAACTGGTAGTAACTATCCTTGTTATACTGGTCCCGGGGTCACTTCCCAAGAGATCACTATCCGGTTCCAACTGGGAGATCAATAGATGAACAGTTAATTTTACAATTAGCCGCATACAGTACGAAACCTTCTAAATCTATAGTTCTTAAAGAATAAAACCTATTTCTGCTGGAAAAAATCTAAACCTTCAACAGCTGGAAGAGGAAATAAACTTGAGAAAATAAAAGGTCACTGTAAGTATTTAATTTCTTAAGACCTTTGCAGATGAATAGCACCAGAAAAAGCTTAAGAACGTGGACCCAATCCTAATTCTGACACAGATTTCCGGCGTAGTTTTGGTCAAAATATGTAATATTTTACTACCACAATTCCTCACCTAGAGGATGGCAGAACAATACATTTGACTATTTACACTCTCAATTATTTACAGCAAAGTTTAGATTTCTTTAAATATATTATGTAGCTGTGGAAAGACAGATACAGGTGTAACATTGTCTAGCACAAGCCAGATCCATGAGTTCAGTTTCCACAGGTAATATCATAAAACATATCTCTAAATGAGAGAGACAAGAAAGCATCTGAGACATGAGCATCTAGAAGTTTGAATCCCGAAGACTTGCACTCAATGATTTGTGTTCCGACTCCAGTCAGGATCTCTTTAGGAATAGGCACAGGAAGGAAATGCCCATTGCTGACAAAACACAAGGTTTTAATGGTGCTAAAATACATCCCGTTCTGACACAGGCAATAGGGACAGCAGGG